CACTGTCCTAATGTATCCTCAAAGATGACATAAAAGAATATTGTCTTTTTGCTGTTTACACGTTGATAATGGAACGACGACTCACAGGCGTCAGTTTCAGTTTTTTTCCGGGAACTCTTAAATAACAATAAACTGAGAACTATGACTTAAACATTTATGATTTTATATTGGTATTTTGTGTGACTCAGCACAGTGCTGCAGTTTAGCATTCATACTCGGCAAGAATGAAACACTTGCAAGGTCTCAGACCTCCAGTAGCAAAGGAACGATGAAGTCTGCGCGTGAGTGAGACATAATGGGATGCATCGCTTAGTTCGTTTATTTAGCATTCGCTTCTGCTAGCAATGGGATCAACAAAAGCCCTAAATGAGGGAGACGCGCCCACAAGCTTCACAAAGGCTGTGAGGAACTACGAACGTTGTGAGGCGGCGGTCTCGAAGCCTACCGACAAGCAACCGACGCAATAATGTTACTCACCCGTCAGGAGCGCCAGGATTGACAACCGTCGTGAAGCTTAACTTGCACTGCTCCGTGCGCTCGTCCTTATTCACCTTCGTGTAGTATCCGCAGAAAAACTGTTCGTTTTGCGCACTGATCACTTGAGACCGTGGGTTCGAGTAGGAGACCAGCTGCAGTTGCATGGTCACACCGCAGTACGCGGCCTTAAATCGAATCACTGGTCAGCAAGATTCCAAAGTACAGTACGGAGGCGTACCTTGGGGATGAGACTGATGGTCACCAGCAGGAACGACAGCCAACTCTGGAGGTCGTCAAGGCGATGCATCGTACAGCGGGAGGTCGTTACTCTACTCTCGTTGACGGTCCCTTCGCACAGATTTCGCAAGCGCCCAGCAAGCGATCAGTGCCGTAAAACAACGTAAGCAAACAATGATACGATAGCAGTCTACCGACAGAACAACCACTGCCTGCTCGTCCGCCGTCTGTCCGTCGTCCAGGGCATCAAGCGCTCCTTATCTGATCACTTTTTGTACTGACTGGATGCATACTCGGCGGCGATTTTGAGAAAGAACACTTTAACAAAGCTTATTCGAAGCTACCCGAAAGTCTGGTACTCATCGACCAACCAAACCTTCATCTGTTCGTCGGGGGTCACGTCTTTTATCCATTCATCCATGGATATGCTTTCATGCGAATTATGAAACTGCTCCAGGAAAAGATGGATCTAAATACTGTATTTGTCTGTGACAAATAATGTCTTATACGGGGTTAGGCTTATGGCTAGCGTTTAAATGTAGCACATAGTTGTGCAGCGTAGCATTTAGGTCGAAAGCGCGGTATCTGAAACATTCTTG